GACAATTGAAGAGTTTTTCAGGCGAAGATTCTTGCAATCAACAAAGCAACCGAAATGAGACTATACAGGGTGAGATGTAAAAACTGCAACCAATTTCAGACTGCTGTCATTATTAAGCCATTCGTCCGACAACTATAAAAATTATTCCATTGACAGCTCATTATATTGTTTACAAGCGTACAAAAGCTTTTTGTTGAGAATTTTCCAGAAAAAAGGTTATTCGTGGAGTATTACGGTCACCAGTATCACGGGACACAAAAGATTTATTCACATTTAAATGCTGGAGTGCTCTAACGATAGCCACTTGTAGTTTTCCAGCCAAATATAAAGAAATCACACTATCACGCTTGAATTCCATTACGAATAACTTTTTTTCTGGAAAATTCTCACAAAAATGCTTTTGTACGCTTGTAAACAATATAATGAGCTGTCACTGGAATAATTTTAACAGCTGTCGGACCAGTGGCTAGAAATGTCAGCTGTCTGAAGTTGGTTGCAGTTTTTTCTTCTCACTCTTTATATGGTAACTCCTATTCGAGCGACATGCAAAATTTGAATTTGCTCGATTTTTTTACTGCTCCCAGTGCTCTTGTTCGAATTCGAGTAAGTTTCACTCTTTGTACAAATTCTTTGGAGGCCTGATTTTCAATATAAGGGTTTTCTCACGATTGAACTTAATTTTATTTCTAAATGTTCTATATTTTTAATCGTGATGGAGGATTAAGAATTTATTTACTTTTGAAAAAAAGATAAGTCATACTCCTTAAATTGACTTCCCTGTATAAAAATATCACCACAGAAACAAATTTTAATTTTTATCATTTTATTGAACTTTTTCAAATTAATTTGTGAGTTCAGACATCATTTCGATGATTATTTAATGCCTTGATGTTTGATGACCCCAACTGCTACCCAAGCAATCAGCCGGCCAACCTGATCGGTCGTTTCAGTCCTCCTCACGTGACTTGAAATCATTGTTATTATGAGTTTATTAACACAAGTAGCTATCATTATTAAATTAAATGAACGCTTGAATACAGAAGAATCTGTCTCTGCCCCTCATTCATGTAATAAACAATTGCAGTGACCATTTACTATAACTTGCCTGCTCCTCCCCCAACCTCTGGGCTTGTGCATATACTTCGATGATAAGACCAACAGCGTGACTACCATGGTGCGTAAATATTGAGTAAATCATAAACTAGCGTTAGTAGTGTAAAGTATTTGTTTCTGCTTCTTGATTCTAAAAATAAATAGACAATGCTATTCTTATGGGGGATCATTGGCTCACTTATTCTTCTTTTTTGTTGTTTTGTGTTGGGTTCCGTTAACGACAAAGTCAAAATATTATTCAGGACTTCATAGATGATAATTCAGCGTCATTGAAGAAGTTGTCCGCTCGGCCAGTTGTTTTTATACCCTCCACCATACTATGGAGGGTATATTAATTTTGTCATTCCGTTTGTAACTCCTCGAAATATTCATGTCAGACCCAACAAAGTATATATATTCTTGATCAGCGTAAAATTCTAAGACGATTTAGCCATGTCCGTCTGTCTGTCTGTGAGTCTGTCTGTCTGTCTGTCCGTCTGTCTGTCTGTTGTAATCACGCTATCTTTCGAACAAATTGAGATAGAAGGCTAAAATTTTGCACACATGTATTTTTTCCCAGTAGGCAGGTTAAGTTCGTAAATGGGCCATGTAGGTCCAAGTTATCATATAGCCCCCATATAACGGTACCTCCCGATATTCGGTATTTTGATGATTTTAGCGACATTATTCACCGGAATTGTTTCAAATTTGGTATTTGAAGTTCGTAATGGATACTTCATCCAAAGTCAAAGAATGAGCCATGTAGGTCCACGTCTTCATATAGCCCCCATATAACGGTACCCCCCGATATTCGGTATTTTAATGATTTTAGCGACGTTATTTACAGGGAATGTTTCAAATTTCGTATGTGAAGTTCGTAATGGATACTTCAGCCCATGCCAGAAAATTGTCTGTGCAGGTCCACGTCTTCGTATAGCCCCCATATAACGGTACCCCCCATATTCGGTATTTTGACGATTTTAGCTACATTATAAACAGATTTTTCTTCAAGTTTCGCATTTAAATATTGTAATAATTTATGACAAAAGTTGCCTATGCAGGCCCACGTCGTCGTATAAGCATTCGGTATTTTTAAGATTTTAACAGAATTTTTAACGGGTTTTATTTTTTGGAAATTGCCAAATTTGTACCAAATGGTGGAGGGTATTAAAAGTTCGGCCCGGCCGAACTTACAGCTTTTTTACTTGTTTTTTTTTTTCTTTTATAAATAACAAATAAATAAAAAATATATGTTTACATATTAATTAAAATTATTTAAATAAAACAATAAAATAATAAATACCCCGTAACGTATGTAAATAAGTTACCAATAAGTAAACACCATAGAAATGGCTTGATAAGAAACAAATGCATGATGAAATCTTTTGGCGTATATTTAAATGGACTATTTGATATACAATGGGGTTGGAAACACAATGCTATACTAGGTGCTGTCCTATCAGATATTTGGGAATGTTTTGATATTACATTCGGTGGAAAGGGAAACCTCTTCTTTAAGCTCAATGGAAACGTTAATAAGTTTGTGTAAAATCTACAATGTTTGGCTTGAGTTGTATACTTCCCTTTTACAATTCCTTAATTTCCAAAATATAATCGCATAAGCGTAGTTATAGTAGGCCAGCTGTGTAATTAAATGTACTCAAAGCAATAAATATCTAATTACCATTCGCCACAGCAGCAGACAAAGACTAGAAATCCGTAATTAAGTAATTTACCCCTTTCTAAATATTTTCCTTTCTTTAAACAAAGATAAACACACATATACACTCATCGTAGTCACATTACAAATGTCGAGACACAGTCAGTAGAATTTGTGGTTTACTTTCTTTGTTTAGAATTGCTTGCAATTTTTAAACAATGCAAGTCAATTGACTAAAATGCTGTTATTGTACTCAAAAAACGTATAGGCTGATAATATTTTTGAATTCATTTGAGTTGTAGATGCTGAAGAAACAGTTCCACTAATTGCAATTCAAAACAATGGTATAAGAATTAAAAACATGTTTAAGTGGCGAAAAGCTCGTCCAAAATTAACTGTTTATAGCCTCCACCATGAGAAAAACTAATGTGGAAAAGAGTAAAAATCCCGATAAAAGGCATTTTTAATTTTGGCAAACTTGTAGATGTTGCTGGGATTTATGTTTGAAAAGAACGTTAGAGTACCTATCTCCCACCTGCTAAATAGTCCATCTTTCTTGTTAGATAACATGGAATATTTGCGTAGTAGGTGTTCAATCGACTCTATCTCTTCTTCATCTTCAAGTACCAGCTTCTTCGATGAGAGAATCTGTCCATTGGCTGACATAGCTTATAAGTGGTTTGACAGTCTTATCAATCGACTATAAACCATCTCGAGATAATTGGTCAGCCATTTCATTTCTCCAAAATACAGGGTGAGATGAAAAAACTGCAACCAACTTCAGACTGCTGTCATTTCTAAGCCCCTCGTCCGACAACTGTTAAAATTATTCCAGTGTTTACAAGAATACCAAAGCATTTTTGTGAGAATTTTCCAGAAAAAAGTTATTCCTGATGGAATTCAAGCGTGAGATTGTGATTTCTTTATACATGGCTGGGAAACCACAAGTGGCTATCGTTAGAGCACTCCATCATTTAAATGTGAATAAATCTTTTGTGTCACGTACCATCGCTCGTTACCGTGATACTGGTAGCGTAGCCCGACATCAAGAAAGTGGACGGAAGAAAACAGCAACATCAGCAGAAATGGTTTGAAAAGTAAAGAAGCGACTTGATCGAAACCCGCGTCGCAGTGACCGAAAAATATTCCATTCGGCAAATGTTGAAAAATGACCTCGGGGTAAAGCTATTGAAATACCAAAAAGTGCAAGAACTTACACCGCAATTGAAAGAAAATACACTCAAAAGAGCCAAAGAGTTGCTTCGCTTGGCCGAAAGTGGTGAACTGCCGAATTTGGGTTTCTTCGATGAGAAAACATTCGATGTCCAGCAGTTTGTAAACACAAAAAATGATCGTGTTTACTTCCAAAAGAGGTCAGCTGAAAATGTACACATTCGGTTGGCTACCAGAACTCAAGCGCCAGCCATGGTGATAGTGCGGGCCGCCATAACAGCCGATAAATCAGAATAAATGCCAAATATTATCGCGAAAATATTCTGGTGGGTGTATTAAAGCCTTGGGCGCGCAAACTTTTTGGCCGCAGACCTTGGACATTCCAACAGGACTCAGCACCACCGCACTCAGCACGCGCCAACCAAGCATGGTTACAATATTAGGTTCCTCGCTTCATTTTTTGTGTCTGGAGTATTTTGGAAAGCAAGGTTGGCACTAAAAAATACCAAAGTGTTGATAACCTCAAACAAGCGCTTTCCCGGGAATGGGCCAAAATACCACAGAGCAACATTCGAGTAGCGTGTGACGGTTTTATTGGCCGAAGGCCATAATTCGTGCCAAAGGTGACCAATTCAAATAAATCTAAACTTATTCTTAAATTTGTTGATATTTCTGAAATTTTTTGTTTCATTCAATAAAATTAAAAAAAATGTAAAAATTATGGCCTTTGACTTTGTTGCAGTTTTTTTTATCTCAACCTGTATTGCTCAAAGACCTCAAGCTCGAGCCACACTTGTTTTAATAAAATTTTGATCCTTTATTTACCTCTTGTCACCTTTTAGGGTACATTATTTAACACGAAAACTATAACTATATTCTGACATCACCATTGTAATTTCAGTTTCTCCATTTACAGTTTACACATAAAAATATTTATTTTTAACTCATTCATTACTAATTATGCCATCAAAACCAGGTCACATCACCTATATAGCTTTGCGATGATATTTTGGTGGTTTCTTTTCCTATATTAAAATCCAATTAATATTGTTTTTTTCTTTTATTTTAATTACAGACTGGCAAACAACAACAATATCATTTGGGACAATGGCTGCGTAAACGTTATTCCAGTTTGTTGAGTAAAACCTATAACAAAGATGAAATTTATATACGATCAACAGATGTAGATCGTACATTGATGAGTGCATTATCAAATTTGGCTGGATTGTATGAGCCGGTGGCCAAAGATGTATGGAATCCGGATATAAACTGGCAACCAATTCCCGTACACACTAGCCCAGAAAAATTAGATTCGGTAAGAGCATAAAAAAATTAAATCGTTTAAGATATTTACATACTATTAAATTGTAATTTTAAGGTCCTTGCTGGCAAAGCTGGCTGTCCCGCCTATGAATATGCTTATTCTGCGCTGTTAGATTCACCCGAATTCCAAAAACTTAACGATCAATATGCCTACCTGTATAATTATCTTACCAAATACACGGGTCGCACCGTTGACACATTAGAGGATATACAACGAATTAATAACACTCTATTTATTGAAGAACTTTATAATAAATCCCTGCCCGAATGGACTAAGAAAATATATCCAAGTGCCGATATGACAGCAGTGGCTGCATTCACATTTAGTATTTCCACATATACACGTCAGTTGGCCCGCTTGAAGTCGGGTCCTCTAATCAAGGAAATGCTACAACGCTTTGTGGACAAATCCAAGGGTAAATTAAATCCTGATCGTTCGGTTTGGATATATTCGGCTCATGATACGACGGTGGCAAATGTTTTGAATACTTTGAAATTGTTTGATGTAAGTGGAAAAAATAATTGCTTCATTAAGAAAGTTGTTAAACATTTTTGTAATTTTACAGGTCCACAGTCCACCCTATACAGCCTGCATTTTATTGGAAATGCGTTTGAATGATAAAAATGAACCTTTCATTTCGATTTTCTATAAAAACAGCACAGCTGAACCGCAACCAATGCTTATACCAGATTGTGGCATAGAATGCCCTCTGAATAAGCTCTTTAATATTTACAGTGATATTTTACCTCAGGATTGGGATAGCGAATGTAAACTTTCAACTCTTATGATGACCTATGAAGAAGCCAATATTGGTACTGCAATGGGTAAGTGCTCGGAGACGAATTTAAATATTTTCATAAAAATTAATAATGTTAGGCTAAATTTCACTGTGCAATACCAAAAATAATTGCAGGAAAAGCTCAGTAGATTTTAAAATAGAGGTAAAAATAGAAGACACGTGTAACGGCGATGTGAAAGTTTACATAGCAAAGTATTCTTAAAAGATTTTCTTCATTTATTTATTTAACATTTAATTATTTCACATTTTTTATTTTTTGGTTAAGATTTTGTTGGAACACGAGTATTTTAGAAAAAATGAGGATTATTTTTGTCGAAAATGTTAACCTTTAACAACTCATTTTAGGATTAAAGGATAAGCTCACATGAAGAATAGCTTATGCAAATACTCCCACAAAGTATTATTTTAGAAACTTGATAAATCAAATATTTCTCTAAATATCAAGCAAAATCTATATTTCAATTATAAATATAAATAATAAATATTTTCAAATTTCTTCGATCAATTTTTTATCAATTTTTTTGTGGGTGAGCTTTAAAGTTACATAAAATTTTGTTTTAGACTGAAAGTGTTTAAAGAAGAAATATTCTACAGAAAACTTTAATAAAAATCTTAGAATAAAGAACAGAGTGAGATGAAAAAACTGCAACCAAATTCAGACTGTTGCAAGAACTTTCCGGAAAAAAAGTTATTCTTGATGGGATTTAAGCGTGATAGTGTGATTGCTTTATATCTGGCTGGAAAACCACAAGTTAGAGCATTCCAGCATTTAAATGTGAATAAATATTTGTGTCTCGTACCATCGCTTGTTACCGTGATACTGGTAGCGTAGTCCGACGTCAAGGAAGTGGACGGAAGAAAACAGCAACATCAGCAGAAATGGTTCGAAAAGTAAAGAAGCGACTTGATCGAAACCTCGCAGTAGCCGAAAAATGGCTCGTGAGCTGAAAATATCACATACAATCGGCAAATATTAAAAAATGAGCTCGGGGTAAAGTCATTGAAATTTCAAAGAGTGAAAGAACTTACACCGCAACAGAAAGAAAATAGAGTCAAAAGAGCTAAAGAGTTGTTTCGTTTGGCCGAAAGTGGTAAACTGCCGAATTTGGGTTTCTCCGATGGGAAAACATTCGTTGTCCAGGAGTTTCTAAACAAATGATCGTGTTTACTTGCCAAAAAGGTCAGCTGAACCTTTGTGCACCAAAACTTAAGCGCCGGCCAGGGTGATGGTGTGGGCCGCCGCTCGTATTAATTGACCGTGACATCAGAATAAATGCCGAATATTATCGCGAAAATATTCTGGAGGGTGTATTAAAGCCTTGAGAACGCAGACATTTTGGCCGCAGACCTTGGACATTCCAACAGGACTCAGCATCATAGCACTCAGCACGCGCCACCCAAGAATGGCTACAAAATGAGGTTCCTCGCTTCATTTTCGGCGCACAAAGGCCATCAAAATCTCCGGATACCAATCCGTTGGACTATTGTGTCTGGAGTATTTTGGAATGCAAGGTTGTCACTAAAAAATACCAAAGTGTCGATCACCTCAAGCAAGCCCTTCGTCGGAAATGGGCCGAAATACCGCAGAGTAACATTCGAGGAGCGTGTGACGATTTCATTGACCGTTTGAAGGCCATAATTCGTGCCAAAAGTGGTCAATTTGAACAAATCTAAACTTATTCTAATTTGATGGTATTTCCGACATTTTTTGCTTTCATTCAAAAAAATTAAAAAAAAAATGTAAAAATTATGGCGTTTGACTTTGTTGCAGTTTTTTTTATCTCACCCTGTATATATCTAAGTTCAATAGTTTTTAAGAAAATGACATTCGAAATGTATATACTACAAGTGTGTTAGCTTTATCTTTCTAAAATATCCGTAGTATTCCGTTTTTGGGGAGGCCAAATTCTTTTAAGGCCTTAATATAGTCTTGAACATATTTGGAGACACATTTCACAATATTTAATATAGAGCTTTGAGGATTTATGGAGAGCTTTGGTTCACTTAATGAGCTATTGGCTTACAAAATGTGTCATGTCGATCAATTTTTTTATAATCTCTATAATATATCCTAGCTTTATATATTTCATATTCATTTACGTTATTCTTATCTCTTATTACACATTCTCTCCCATAGGTATTTTGGTGGCCATCATTACAATAATGCTCTTCCTGTCATATGTGGTTATGGTTTACTACAGGCGACGCAGTTATAAAAATTATTTCTCCTATACACAGGTGGCTTAAACAATTTTTTTACTGTTGTGTTTCAAAATTCTTCTTTTCGTTCTTTTCTATTTGCAATGACTAACCGAAATTCTTTCTTTACAAAATTTCATTTTTGGTTCAAATCAACTTCTTTGGAAAACCCACAACACTAATAGCCACATAAATTGGATGCCTAAAATCAAACAATCAATCAGCCAAACATCACTATGAAAGTCTAACAAACGAAATATCACAAATCTCAAGCACAGAAATCCTGCATCTTATTTTTCATTTATTCATTAGCTTACATATTTAATTTCTTTATCTCGTAGCTATTAGAAATTTTATTTGTTATTGCATTTTGTTATATGAAAGAGAAGAAAATAATTGTTGCATTTATTATTATGATTATGAAAAAACAAAACATTTATTTACAAGTCTGTTTTAAAATAAGTTTTAAGAATATTATTCAAAACCAAACAAAAAACTTAGACAAAAACATAACGCATAGAGACGGAAAACAAGTCATTTACACATTGTGATTCACATTTTCATTATTAGTAGGAAACGAAAAAAAAAAAAAAAAACAAAAAAATATTTATAAAATAAATCGAAATATTCAGGAAATGGAGATTTTTTCTAAATGTTATCATTGTTTTATTAGCATTATTCAATCGTTAAAAAAAACTCTAAAAATTATAGGTGTCCTTTACGATCTTTTTTTATAATCTATATCACATATTTACAATTGTTTTTATAATCTACATTACATATTTATAATGACTGTATATTACAGCAACGCTTTCTTTCGCAAGTTTTTGCATTTACATTTTTGATTATTTTTGATGATGAACCATTTTCTTTATTTCTCTAGATAGGTCCGTGTTAGTAGCACAAGAGTGATGTAGATTATAACGTAATTATTTTCTTTTTATTTTCATAGCCTTTTAATAATTATGCATTTTTTATTGGTTCATCTTTCGACCTTTCGATCTGTAATTTCTCTTTTTGATAAGACTGTTGATTTTTTTAAAAATGTAGTTTTTTAAACGTACCTCTACATCATATACCTAACAGATTTATAGATATATATAAAATTTTAAAATGATATCTCTAATAAAATGAAACATTAATCCAAATATATGAATATTACAGAACTTTTTAAAATATTATTATTATTATAATGATTTTCAAAACAATATATATATATTAAAATGAAAGATATTACAAATTATAAAAATACGTACTTGTTTTAATTGGCTGTAAAAATGGTAAGATAAATTTATTGATACACATATATAGAATTACAGAAAGTATTACTGTTATTAGTTAATTGGGAAAATATCAAGGGTCGAATTGAATCCATATCATTTTTGTGACATATTGCACGCATATCACATCACGCAAGCTTAAATTATAATGGACATTTGAGTTGGTGTTTATTTGCTGGTATACGTAGTTATTATGATGTTTTTTTTTTTTTTTTTTAAATAGCCAGGCTTAGTTGCTATTTTTAGAAAAAACAACGTGAAAATATTTAATACATGTGTTTCATACTTTCACTAGGTAAATAAAATGTGTTAAGTATTTAGAAGAAGTTTCGGGAGCCTTATCTACAAGACCTAAACTCGACATTAGTCAACCGCAAAATGGAATAAAACGTTACTTCCGATCTTTAAAATACACAATATAGGTGGCTTATTCAAACCCACACTCAGACGTTGGGTAATTTCTAATTATCGATAAATATGCTTCGTGACAAACATGGACTTCAATCTACATTTATTAAGATTTTGTTTTATAATATTACTTTTATTTTATCCAAAGCCAAGTACCCGATATCGGATGAATCGCTTTACTGTTTAATCAAATGAACGTTGGGGGTTTCAAGAAGTCAGATAGTTATTCGTTCCGTCAGTCCATGCCATCGTAAGGACTTGACATCTTAGACTTGCAATACAATAATAATGGGTACGGTTTATATAACAACCCTGTGAGGAAGTCTGTTAGAATGTACACCAACACCGATTATAGGTTTATTGAAGAGTGGCCATAAGTTCATCTCGTCTCTGATATTTAAATATGAACCTGTTAAAAACGTGTTAAAAAATCTTAAATATGGCGTATGCCTGTGTATTCAATAATTTTTAACAATTGTTGCAAATTGTTATTGGAAACTGGTAATACATATTTGCTTTACAATAATTGTACGTAAACGCACTACAAATCTAATGTCTTCACTTTATAAGGTTTTGGTCAATTATTTCTAGGTGCTGCATAATGGAATGGCAATATTAAAAATTCATCTTATGGTGAGGGGTATACATACATACACATCTTCATTAAAATGCTTGTTGCACATTGCTAACATACCCTTTTGGCGTTTGAGAGAAATATTTTTTGATTATTGTAAACTTTTAAAGTCCACGTTATTGAGACTTTTTTAAAATCGAATATAGCGCAATTGTGTAATTTTAGTATTTTCCGTATCATTTTGAATAATTTGTTATCCTCGTCTTTACTTGTGATTTCGGAGAACATTGATCAGTTGGTTATCGTTCTCGTCCGATTAATCGATAAAAAATAATAATTTCAATCTATTGATTTTACTTCTAACGGTTGTTTCTTGTACTCTTTAAAAGAGTTCTTTCAGTCCTTAATATGTTTGTTGTGAATAATATTTGTATAGTTAATACTGTTAGTAAAATATTGGTTATAAAATAATAGTATAATTTCGCCAACTATTCTTAACGCCCATGTCCATGTTTTAAGTATTTTAAGCTTTCATTAGAATTGACAACACTGTTATCAATTGCTTCTTCTCCTGTTGGTTGCAAAAAATTTTAATTGCAGTCGGTCGTGCATTTTGTTTGGTAATTTTAAGCGTTAAATATTATTAAAGCAACATTTATAAATTAACAGAAAAAAGGTCATTATAACGACGCTGGTATGACAAACAATTTTCGGTGGACATTGCAAATGCTTCGTAATTAAATTTTGGCACAATTCTTTTTAATATCAATTTGTAATTATTGAATCCCGTGTCATCTAAATGTTTAAGACTCTTACTTAAACATTCATAAGAATTGGAAACACTGTTATCAATTGCTTCTTCCCTTAGTTTATAAAAATTCTAACGGCGGTCGGTCGCGAAATTTCTTCGGGAATTCTAAGCGTTGAATTTTATTGAAGGAATAATTTGTGAATTAAAAGATATACAATAAAGTTTATTAGCATTGATTTCATTGTTTATAATTATGAAAAAATTGGTTAAATTTAAACATTCTTTTTGCTTTCGTCTTGCAAATATATTGCAATTTTGCTTGCTCCTTCATAATTGAGCTCGTGTGCGTGCGTGTGTGTCTAAAAGAAAGAATGTTGTTCTTACCGGTCGGTTAAAAAAGAGATCATCCAGTCGTTATAAGCTCGTTTGAAAAACATTGTATTAGCGTTTTAAGCATTCATAAGAATTGGCAATACTGTTATCAATTGCTTTTTCCCTCAGTTTCTAAAAATTCTAACGGCGGTCGGTCGCGAATTTTCTCCGGGAATTCTAAGCGTTTAATATTATTGAAGCAATCATTTGTGAATTAAAAGAAATAGAATAATGTATATTAGCATTGATTTTATTTTGTTCATAATTAAAAAATAAGTATTTAATTAAATTATTTCGTTATGGTTTTAGGTTTCTTTTTTTTTTTTGACGTGCAAACACGATGGAGCTTGTGTGCGTGTGTGTTTGAGAAAATGTTGTTGTTCTCTGTTCGGTCGGTTATTGTACGGTTTAAAAGAGATCATTTGGTCGAAAAAAGTTCGTGTGAAGAAATGGTACTGGCGTTTAAGCATTCATAAGAATTGACAACATCGTTATCAATTGTTTCCTCCGTCAGTTGCAAAAAAATCTAACGGCAGTCAGTCTCAAAGTTTATTCGGTAATTGTAAACCTTTAATATTAATGAAGTGTTTGTTTATAAATTACAAGAAATACAAAAAAAAAGTTTATTAGCATCGATTTTATTGTTCGTTGTTAAAATAATGTTTAAATTAAACCATTTTGGTGCGCTATTTATTGTCTTAATTTGTCGGGCAAAGATGTTGCAATTTTGTTTGCTGCTTCGCATGGGAGCTCGTGTGCGTGCGTGTGTGAAATGAGAGAATGTTGTTGTTCTCAATTCGGTCGGTTATTGTTCTGTCTAAGAGATCTTTAAGCTCGTGTGGCAACCATTTTTCTGTGGTCAGTGCAAGTGTTACACCGCCTTTACACGGTGCAATTTTTAGCTGGCATTTTTATCAATTCTCTTTTAAAATTTCTGCGTAAATCTTCGCGCCTTTACACGGTGGCATTTTACGATAATAGTGCTTGGCATTTTTTCTGACATTTTATTTTATTCAGTATTTCGTATAGAGCTAATTGTTTGTAACAGATATTTATAAAGAAGTGATTTAAAATTAAGTGTGTGAATCTTAAGAAGAAATGATGGAAAAAGTTATTGAGGTGTTAAATATTGCATTATTAACTTTTATTTTAACTTTCTTTTTTTACTTTTTAATACTTCCAATTAATTTTCATATAATTCAATCACTGAAAACATCACAATAAAAGAAACGCATTAAAAATTACAATAAAGAAGCGATATGAAATGTCAAAATCATAAAAAATTCGGAAGAAGCAAAAAGAGAAATGCAAAGAAAATGGCATGTAACCCTGTGCGGTGGCTCATCGTGCCATTTTTTCTTATATCCTTGTCTCTCTACACCTTTTACCAACAAACAAAAATGGCATGGTTAAAAAATGTCACCGTGTAAAGGCAGTGTTAATAATAAAATTTTGGCACAATTCTTTTATATGTCAATTTGTATTTATTCCGTCCTATTCCCTGTCCACATTTTCAGTGTTTTAAGCATTCAATAAAATTGACAACATTGTTAACAATTGCTCTTCCGTCAGTTGATAATAACTCTAACGGCAGTCGGTCGCGAATTGTGTTCGAAAATTGTAAACCTGTACTATTAATGTTTTTTAATTTAATTATTAAATAAAAGAAAACAATGAAGTTTTCTAGCATTGATTTTGTGTTTCATAATTGATAAAATTAAAATATTTCGGTATGATATTATGTTTCCTTTTTGTCGTGCAAAGATAAGGTAATTCTGATTGGTCTTAGGGAAATAAGAACTCGTGTGCGTGCGTGTTGATGAGAGAAGGGAGATTTTTATATTCTTATTGGTCGTTCGATACGGTTTTAAAGAAATCATTCGCTCTCTAATAAGCTCGTGCGTTTCGGTGGGCATTGCAAATAAATGTTTGTTGATAAAATATTAATTGGTAGTGATTGCGTTGTGTAAATTCCCCAAAATAATAGCGTTTTAATTTCGGGAGAAAATGTCTGAGAAAATATGCGTTTTCTTTTTTTTTAATATAAAATATTCAATTAAAATTGAAAAATTGAAGCAGTCGGCAAACATGTTAACGAGGTAAGTTTGTTTACTGAACAACCAAATGAAAGTAAAAACTGTTACTACGATAACCGATTTCTTCTTTATGATTTCGACAAAAATTTGCAAAACTAGTAGATTCTTGGTGTTTCTTCTGGAAGAGAGCAGTACTTGTCAAATTATAGGACTTTCTGGTTACGCTAAAATTTTTAACCGTTGTTGCAAATTATTATTGGAAGCCGTCTGTTAAGAAAAAGGTTCTACAAAATAGAGCTATTCGTGAAAGAATTTTTGTCAGTTCTTTTACTGAGTGTTTTCTGGTGGGCTAAGTGCAAATTCTTCCTCCGCTTGAAGATTCGGTGATCTATTTTTGTGAAAGCAATTGATAATTATAGAACGCCTATATTAAAACACATAATCTAAAGAAAATGAGTGTCAAATGAAGGGATTTTCATCATGGTAGAAGAATACAGGTAGATGAATCAACACTTGGGAACAGTGATATTTAAAAAAAAATAAATGTTTCTTAAACAAGTAAAAAACATTAAGTTCGGCCGGGCCAAACTTTTAATACCCTCCACCTTAGGGTAAAGGAAACAGTAGAAGAAATGTGGCAAAAGCCATTATCGGTTATATGGGGGCTATACCAAATCGTGGACCTATACATGCAATGTTTCGCCACCGGAGCTGGAACCCATTATGACCGACAAATACCAATTTTTAGACAAATCCGTGAAAATATGTGACAAAAATAATCAAAATACCGAATATCGGGAGGTATCTTCATATGGGGGCTATACCAAAACGTGGACCTATACCATGCCATGTTTTGCCACACGTACAGGGACCCGTTATGACCTACAAATACCAATTTTCAAACAAATCAGTGAAAAAATGTGGCATAAATCATCAAAATACCGAATTTTGGGAGGTACCGTTATATTAGGAGGTACCGTTATATATACCAACCATCCTAGACACAATAAATTTAGAAATCTAGACAATGCTAAATTTTGGCGCTCTATGTCAAATAATGTGGGCTGTATCGTGATTTCAACAGACAGACAGACGGACATCGTTAAATCGACTTAGAATTTTATGCTGGTTATGAATATATATACTTTATGGGGTCTACGACGAATATTTAAGGATGTTACAAACGGAATGACAAAGTTAGTATACCCTCCTTTCCAAGGTGGAGGGTATAAAAATAAGTAGATTTGTATATCTTTTCCTAAACGAAGCCAATCGGAAGTTTTTATGATATGCATTTTTTTTACAATTTTTTAAAAATTGAATAGTATTTCATTAAAAAATGTCAATTCCAAAATTGGCTGTGTCGATCCGACTACCTTTATTCTTCTACCATGGGTTTTATGTTACCTGTTGTCATGCAGTAACTTGATGTTTGGGTTATTCCTTTACCTATAACTTCATGTATGTGGATGAAAAAAAAAAAACAAATTGCGATAAATAGTATCAGCCGGTTCTGCCGACAGATGTATACCCTCCGTCATTGTTCGATTAAATAAATATAGTTTGACTCCTGTTATGATTATTAAAACTGTTGACCCTCTGTGGGTTAGGTTCCGAAGGAATAGGCCAATCTCAAAAATCATTTCGTATCGGACCTAAAACAATTTGATATAAACGACGTGCCAGGTTTGGAGAGATATGTGATAATTTTTAGAAAAGGTTAAAATGTGCGTGAGTTACCAGATATAGTCGACCGAGGTATTTCATTTTCATGCTTCATCAAATACAGATAAAAAATATTGGTATGGGCACACACAATCATCATGGCCGGCGCTTGAGTTCTGCTGGCCAACCGAAGGTGTACATTTTCAGCTGACCTCTTTGGCAAGTTATTTTGTTTACAAACTGCTGGACAACGAATGTTTTCTTTTCAGAGAAAACCAAGTTCGGCAGTTTACTACTTTCGGCCAATCGGAGCAAGTCTTTAGCTCTTTTGAGTGTATTTTCTATCTATTGCAGTGTAAGTTCTTGCACTTTTTGGAATTAAAATGGCTTTATCCCGAGCTCATTTTTCAATATTTTCCGAATGGAATATTGCGATATGTTCAGCTCACGAGCCATTTTTCGGCCACTGCGATGCGGGTTTCGATCAAGTCGCTTCTTTACTTTTCGAACCATTTCTGCTGATGTTGCTGTGTTCTTCCGTCCATTTCCTTGACATCGGGCTACGCTACCAGTGTCACGGTAACGAGCGATGGTACGAGACACAAAAGATTTATTCACATTTAAATGTTGGTGTGCTCTAACGATAGCCACTTGTGGTTTTTCAGCCAAAAATAAAGAAATCATACTATCACGCTTGAATTCCATCACGAATAACTTTTCTTTAAAATTCTCACCAAAATGCTTTTGTACGATTGTAAACAATATAAAGAGCTGTTTGTTACTGGAATAATTTTAACAGCTGTCGGACGAATGGCTTAGAAATGACAGCAGTCTGAAGTTGGTTGCAGTTTTTTATCTCACCCAACAGATCTTGTGTTATTTCTATTCCTTTGAGCGCTTTTTTTGTTTCAAAATCTTGAACCCTATTTGGGGGAGGTACCAGAAGAAATGTTCCGATATCTATTAACTTTATAACTGATCTTGTGTGGATGGAAATATTGAAATGTACCAAGTCTGAATGGAATGGAATGTTAGTTTCGCGTTTTATGAGCTTCATTGGTATTTAAAATGTTGACCCTTTGTGGGGGAGATACCAGAAGGAATGGTCCAATCTCTACCATATTTATAACAGATCTTGTGTGGATGGAAATATTGAGATATATTAGGTCTGAACAGAATCGGATATTAATTTCGCGGTTTATGAGCTTCATAGATATTCAAAATTTTGACCCTATTGTGGAGGAGGTACAAGACGGATTGAAGCGATATTTTCCATCTTTAGATGGAATCGACTCCAAATGTCCTGAAATGGATTTGGTCCAAAAAGACCTAAGGTCTTAACCCGTTATTTCGATTTGGCACATTTTGGTCGAATCAAATGATATATAGCCTCTCTACCCGTATGGCTGAGCGTATAAATAACATTCCAAAGAAAAAAAACAGGTTTCATTTTAGATTATTTATATGTATGTGAATATCTTTATTTCATACTTAATATCATAATGCAATAATATTTATTGTACTTAATTATTTGCACATAATTCAAAACATATTCTTCGCTTCGTAATAAAGATTCACGAATATGCGACTTAAAATTATTCTTTATATTTAAATTATTAATATTAATTACAACAAATTATATTAGAATTTCATGCGTATTATTAATTATTTTGTCTTTTTCGAAATGTTTAACTTATAGTAATTCGTTGTTGAAAATCCTCTGTAGATTAAATGTACATACATGAATCAAACAATGTTGAATATAATCTCGATAAAATGATTTGAAATACCATGTTCCAGACATTAGAACATTTCGTAAGAAATGTGGATGAGAGGGAGAGAACGAGGAGATTGAGAACCTCTTTCTCCTCGTCCATTCTCCATAAACTTACAATTTCTCAGCAAATATTTCAATGCCTGACAGAAGACTACCTTTATTTATTGAAAGAAAATGGAATGTAGGCAGTTCATTTTTTTTGGAATTTTCACAATTTTTCGAAGATATTTTATTTTAGTTAACCTTATTTGCTGACTTGAAAAAGTTAAAAACGTTTTTATGCGCGTTGTTGTTTGCTTACATCATTGATGTGAAATCTTATAACTATTTGAATGTTTGCTTAGAAAGAAAGCTTTGCTTGAAGCTTAATTATTTTCAGCTTTTTTTAAGTGCTAACATTTATAATATTAAATTTACTAAATCTTATATACAAATATATTTAACGACTGTGTGCATTTTAATTTATTAATTACTAAGGAGTTAGAGTCAGCTTTTCGTCACATTCATTTATTGTTTTTTTGTTGGGCAGTCCATTGGGCGGTTGGTGATTGGATAGAAGCTTTCCAAATAATACTGCTTAAGATTTCCATGAATTTCTGAAAATTTAGCAATCTTATTCATGGATTGGGTTGATATTTGTCGTTTCTGAAAACGTTGTTCACTCTCAGAATTACGAACACGAAGCAAAAAGTTCACATAAATTTTCTCGGGAGTGAAACTTTCTCCCGAGCAGGAGTACTCAAAGAGTGGTCATTTTATACGGAGTTTACTCCTCCCTCTCTTGTTTTGTGTAGAACAAACCGGTTTTGATGTTGCTATGAACTAAAAGATTGTTCGTTAAGAGCAGAATCTGCTCGAATTCGAGCAAATTTTGTCCCCACTCTAAAAAAATAGAGAATGCTCGGTTTTTTCTTCCCCCTGGGGTCTGCTTTTTGGAGGTTTGATTTTAAATAAGAATTCCACTCACAAGACCTCGGCGATGGGATCCTAGCGTGATTGGAATTCTTTTATAATTCTACATTTAAAGACAGCCATGCAGAAAATTTTTGTGCTTCTACCTTCACCGCTTCATCTCCTCCTCTAGATTTTCCATAGAATGAATGTCTTTCCTAAAATGTTCAGCTTCAACTCAAACTTTTGCACAATTTCAACTTAAATCCTAGAGTAACGATATACTAATTCTACTAAGCTTTTTAAGCTTATCTATAAGCTTTATCATCCGAATAGATGATGTACGGCTGAGCATTTGCCAAATTGGCTGCCGCCTGTTGATTTTGCGGTGTCGAACCACCAAAATAGGACATTCGCGACGAATAGTTCTGTTGGGCCTGCTGCTGTTGTTGTTGCTGCTGCTGCTGATGTTGTTGTTGGGCCTGGACTTGCTGTTGGCGTTGAGCCAAACTTTGTGTCGACTGATGTATAGAGGCCGCCTTGTGGGGCAATGTGGCATATGTCTGCGCCGCATAGGGTGGTACAGCATATAAAGCTGCCGCCGCAGCAGCTGGTCCACCCTTATAGCTTAGTGGAACACTACCGGGACCCATGGTCATGGGTGGTATACCAATCATTGCCGGGCCATTGTGATAATCGTTGCTGCTCATGCGCAGGCGCACAATGCAAATTATGATAATGAGTATGGCAATAAAGGCCACCACTCCACCAACAATGCCAATGATGAGCGTATCATCATTGGTCATAATGGGTGCCTTCATGAGCGGAGCTTTTGTTTTGATTTTCATTGGTGGTGGTTGTGTGGGTTCCATACTCCAGATGATCATGGGTGGTTCTTCGGTGGTGGTCATGGTGGGGCGTGTTACCAAACGAGAGGAGGATTTGAGCATATTTGTTGCTGTGGTTCTTACTGTTGTGGAGGTCATTCTCCGAGGATCACAGGTCAACTCATCATCGCCAACTTCAATGAGTTTTTTACCCGCCAAATAGGCGGGAGAATGACAAGCCACATTGGTCATGCGGGAGTTGGGCAACCATCTTCTCAAGGCCCGTGCATTACAATCACAGTGTATGGGATTACTGGCCAAACCCTTCAAATTCAAACTGGAGCGGCGATCCTCCAGGGCATTGAGAAACTGTGGCACCAAAACCCCAACCTTGGATCCTTCAATGTCCAATGTGAGATGTGAAGATCTGGGTACAGGGAAAAGTAGGGCCGGTGGCAGGGCTGTAAGTGAGGTATTTTGAAGTTTTATGGTAAGATCGCTGCTCTTTAACCCAGCCAAGGTTCCCGAAGATATTGACTTCAAACGGTCACCCCTTATGCCTAGCGAGCGTAACCGAGGATGTTTGGCTGGCTGAATTTGTTCGGTACCAATTGACGTATCCTTTACCTCAACATCTATCATTTCCAAACCTGGTAATAGCTCCAAAATTCCCTGCAAATCCAAATAGCCCACAGAGGGTAGATTAAACGCTTCCAGGGACGAGAGATGGGTTATATCTTTAAAGGCATTCTTTTCCAGACGTGTACATTTAATCAAATCATTAAGTTTCAAATATCTTAAAGCATATAGTTTGGCAAAGTCACCTTGGGAGACCAGTTCAAAGCTGTTATTGGACAAATCGAGAGTGTGGAGCACCTGAAGTTTTGGCCAGGCAGCTGAAAGCTCGGTAAGATTATCCAAAAGATTGTTGGACAAATCCAAAGTTTCCAATAAAGTGGTGCGTTCAAAGACCTTTGGTTCTATACTCTTCAATTTGTTGTGCGACAAATTCAAGTACTGCAAGAAAGGTGTCTCCAATGCTTCCAAGTGATCAATTCCGGTACCGGCCAAGTTCAACTCCCTCACCGTTTTTGGCTCATTCAAAATATGTTTGACTGCATCGCGCGACAGGGGATTAAAGGACAAATCCAAATTTTTAATATTCACCATCATATCATCATCACTGGGTATGCCAGTGATTTTGTTGTGACTTAAATCTACAGAGGAGACGAAATAAAACTGCCGCCTCAAAGCTTTGAGGGGAGCATATTCAAACCCATTACCGGCCAAATTGACACTTTCCAGCAACTCCAATTTACCGCTCTCAAAAATGCCCTCAGCCAGTTCGTTCAGTTTATTATTTTCCAAATTCAAAGATTCCAAACGTATGAGACCCTCAAAGGTCCTCTCTCCTATGCGATCCAAATTATTATTGGAAAAGTCCAGAACTTGCAGCTGAGTCGAATTGTGGAAGGCCATTTCACTCAACATATCCAATTGGTTGTGGGCCACTTTCAGTACCCGCAGGCGTGGCAAACGGGCAAAATCTAATTCCTCGATAGTTTTCAATTGATTTTGGGACAAATCCACATGCTCCAAGAATTGTAGGCTTGAAATTAATTCCGCCGGGAAGAAACTGAATTTGTTATTTGCCGCCAAAATCATTCTCAAACGGGGATGAATGCGGAACGAAGAGGGAAATAGATAACTCAAATGATTATTGGATATATCCAATTCCTCGATACCGGTACCGGTATTAAAGAATTCTCCCTTGAAAGCCGATAACTGATTTCCCCTCAAGCTCAGTTTCTGCAAGCTCATAACATTCACAAATGCTCCCGGTCGTATGGAGGTAATTTGATTATTCGACAAATCAATGGATGTGATGTTCCACAAGTCCATAAAGGTACCATCATTGATCTCCTGTATATTGTTATCATTCAAATAGATATGTTTCAAATCCTGCAAAGTTAAGAACAAATCACCCGACAACTGTTTCATGGAACAAAAACTGAAATCCACAATTTGTAGCCGTGCCAAAGGACGTATCAGGGCGGCAGGTATGGGTGTCAAATGATGATTGCCACTTAAATTCAAATACTGCAAATTCTGTAAGCCTTCCAAAATGTTTTTGGGAATTTCAGCCAAATTATTGTGACTCAAATCCAAGCTACGCAATTCCGTCAAAGCCCATGGGGTGTTGCCCAGGCCAGTTAAACGATTTTGAGCTAATTTCAATTCATTCAGCGATGTTTCGAGACCTTGGAAGATGTCTGCACTTATAACGGCCAATGAATTTCCCGATAAATCCAAGGAACGTAAATTACTAAACATTTGGAAACTTCCAGTGGGCAGCTCACGTATGACATTACGCGACAGGGTTAGAGTACGAATATCGGAAGCTTGTATGGATCCCAAGATTTCAGCTGACAAGGCGGCCACCCGGTTGAAATCCAAATGCAAGGCATTGAGGTTGGATAAACGTCCCAAAGCATTACCGGGGACTAGAAGAATATTGTTGTCACGTATGATCAGTGTCTGCAGACTATCCAACCCTTCCAGGGCATCGTCTTCGATCTGTAAAGAGAGATATGGAGAGGGGGAAAAATGAGTAAATATTTTAATAATCTATAATAATCTTAAAATTTTGGGTAAGGGTCACTCCTGGTCCGAAGGTGTCAGATAAGGCTGGGGTTTTTGAAATACGTGGTAGAACGTTACGAAAAGTACTAAAGGGTACTAAATATGGTACCGTTTGTATTTGACGAACCAGTGGAGCTAAAAATCTTAAATTTTAAATGAAAAGTACTAAAATGTACAACAATTAGTACCATTTCGTATCGTGAAGCTATAAACTTGAAATTTTTTATGGAAATCAAGGTTGAGGAGAAGGGTCAATTTAAGGAGGTAGTTTTGGTAGTGTGTACTTATGTGTACGGCAATTACTAAACGGTACTAAATTTCATACAATTTAAATATGGAGGAACGGATAGAGTTGGAATCCTGAAATATGAAATTAACATTGCTGGTGGAACATAGGATTGGGATGTATTTTTTCGAAATGTGTACTTATGTTCACGAAAAGTACTAAATGGTACTAAATGTGCTACAATTTCGATTTGTGTGAACCGATAGAGCTGGAATGCTGAAATTTTGGAAATAAGATTACTCTTGCATTGTAGGATTGAGGTATGTACAAAGTTTTTGAAATTCGTACTTATGTGTACTGAATGGCACTAAATTTGGTACAAATTGGAATCGAGGTGAACCGAGGTATGGAGGTACTATTGGGAATTTGGAGTAAAGGAATTTCGGGAAATTCGTACGTATTTAGTAGATTTAGTAGAATTTTTGACAAATAATTTCGTTGAATATTTTGATTTGCTACGATCCCAGTTAAAGGGAGTTTTATGTCACCTTTTTAATAACGAAAAAGACACATCTGATGACGCGCCTGGGATTAAAATTTTCGACCAAATAAAGCCATTTTGTATTAAGTTAAGTAATATTGCGCAAAACGCTATACAGGCTGAGATAAAAAAACTGCAACAAAGTCAAGCACCATAATTTAATTATACCCTACAACACTATGTGTTGGGGGTATTATAAGTTTGATTGGGCCAAAAATTATGTAACACCTCGAAATATGCGTTTCCCACATAGGAAAGTATATATTGATCTTCCTATCTCGCCGAGCTGAGTCGATCTAGCTATGTATGTCCGTCCGTCTGTACATGTTAATTTGTAATCACTCTACAGGTCGCAATTATGGCCCGATCTTCACAAAATTTAGAATGGAGGTGCGGGTAGGGCCAGAATAGAACCCTATTGCTTTTGGAGATGATCGCATAATATTTAGGGGTTGAAATGGACCAAATACTGAAAAAATGTCGGATTTTGCAATAGCTATACAGATCGCAATTTTAGACCAATTGACGCGGAATTTCGCATGTAGCTAGAGTTTAGGGCGGGGAAGAAGCCTACCAATTTGGGTGGTCATCGGATAATATTTAGCGGGTAAAATATATCATATATTTTGTGTTGAAAAAATTCAAAATTTTTCATTAAACCGCGAATATTTTAAATCCCGGCGAAATCACAAAGCCATGACATGTTTACTTCTGATCTTTACATTGATGTTAACATCCAACAAATCGGATATATGTGCGATATATATGTCTATCAAAGAAGATATGCTTGAAAGATCTCTTATATGTCGAGAACGGCTGAACTGATTTCGACAGTTCTCATTAATTTAGAATGGCCTCTTGGCAGCAAAGAAAAAACGTCTAAAAAAATCGCATAAAAATATCTCTCTAAAGATGAAAATATTGGTTTTGTAATATTTTCTCATATTTTTTCAATTTTGTCATATTTTTGGCATATTTTCATTTTGAATTAAACATTTGGTAATATTTCTACAGCTAGCAAAACTAAGTAGTTAGGATATCAGGATATCATATACAGATCGCATTTATGGTCCGATCCTTACGAAATTTTGCATGAAGATAAGATGAGGATCAGAATAGATGCCTACTCTTTTTGGAGATGATCGCCATATATTTAGGGGTTGGGACCAAAAAACTGCAAAATTTTCAGCAGGTCGTAATTATCGCCCGATCCTCACGCACATTTGAATGGGGGTTACCGCACATTGCAAAAGCCAAGCAGTTTCGGATGGCCATCCAAAAATATTCAATGTGTGAAATAGTTTGCCAAATTTTGTAGACAAAGTGACTTTTTTGGAGAATTCACAAATACAGGAAAGACGCACTTCTGACTATTTCGTTAACGCCGATTTCGTTGAAGAATATAGTCAAATGTCTGTATCTCATATAGATGCGTTTCAGTCAAAAACCAATAATAAATGTTAATCTTTTGCCACTTCTGAGAGATTATAAGTCTTTGGGAAATATTGGTTCCAGATCTAGAAAACCATTTACGTGCAACATCTACCAATAAATTGGAAATGAGCAAATTAGTTGAAAAAGTTGATATTATTCGAAAATTTGAGAACGAAACCTGCTGGTTTTCTTTTATTATTTGTCACAATATCTTGTGGAATTCTTTCGAGTATCTCGCCTATATAAACTGTATGGTTTATTATAGTGTTGTAGGGTATTCAACGGTCGGCCCCGCTCGACTGTAGCCTTTGCTTACTTGTTTTTTTTTTTTAAATTTTATTGAATAAAAGGAAAAAATGTCGGAAATAGCATCAAATTTTAGAATAAGTTTAGATTTGTTCGAATTGATCACCTTTGGCAAGAATTATGGCCTTCAAACGGCCAATGAAACCGTAACACGCTGCCCGGATGTTGCTCTGCGTTATTTTGGTCCATTCCCTGCTGAGCGCTTGCTTGAGGTGATCGATACTTTGGTAAATTTAGTGTCAACCTTCCTTTCCAAAATACTGCAGACACAATAGTCCAACCGGAGATTTTGGTGGCTATTGTGCGCTGGGAATGAAGCGAGGAACCTCATTTTGTAACCATTCTTCGGTGGCGCGTGCTGAGTGCGATGGTTATGAGTCCTGTTGGAATGTCCAAGGTCTGCGGCCAAAATGTTCCTCCAGAATATTTTCCCGATAATATTCGGCATTTATTCAGATGCCACGGTCGATTTATATGAGCGGAGAGCGACCATCGGCTGTTATGGCGGTCCACACCATAACCATGGCCAGCGCTTGAGTTCTGGTGGCCATTTGCAAGGTGCACATTTTCAGTTGACCTCTTTGGCAAGTAAACATGATCATTTTGTTTGTTTACAAACTGCTGGACAACGAATGTTTTCTCATCGGAGAAAACCAAATTCGGTTGTTCACCACTTTCGGCCAAGCGAAGCAACACTTTAGCTCATTTGAATCTATTTTATTTCTGTTGCAGTGTAAGTTCTTGCACTTTTTGGAATTTCAATGGCTTTACCCCGAGCTCATTTTTCACCAAAATGCTTTCACTGGAATAATTTTAACAGCTGTTGGACGATTGGCTTAGAAATGACAACAGTCTGAAGTTGATTGCAGTTTTTTTATCTCTCAATTGAAAATGCGAAGATTCCTAGGAATCTTAATCCGAACATTTAATAAAAAAGTGGAAGTGGAGAACGTTCCCTGAACGTTGATAAATGAATGTCAATATAATTCCTTAACTAGGTCTACTAAAACTTTTACAAAAGTATGGACGTGGTGTGTACTTACCGTCCTCAATGAATTCAAACTCAAGTCCAAATATTTCAGTGACTTCATTTCACGGAATGTGCCCGGTGGTATTGCGGTAATGCTATTACGGCTTAAATCCAAGGATTCCAAAGATGTAAGGACCTGGGCGTGGCTACTGTCAAAACGCTAAAATATCATATCATAAGTAAACTCTTTAAAATCGCTCATTTTATTTACAAACCTGTAACATATTGGATGACACATTCAGCGATTTTAAATGTTCAATGGCGGCCAGGGCAACCACAGGGAATTTTTGCATGAAATTCTCAGACAAATCCAGCTTTTGTAGCGTTGGCAAATCTTCAAAGACATCACTGTTTAGATTAACTATGCGATTGCCAGCCAATTTTATTTCACGTATCCGACGTAGACCATAAAATGAGCCACCAACTATGCCGCGTATTTCATTGTAACGAAGATCGATAATCTCCAATTCGGGTTGGGAAATGAACGAATTTTGAACCAGGAATGCTAACAGGAGAAAAATAATGTTAAAATAATAAGAATTGTAAAAGGTGGAGATTTTTATGTCATACTTATGTGGTTATATTTCAGGGACAAATGTCTCAGGGACATGGGACCATTTAGGGAATGTGATGGTACCAATGTCAGGCTATTACGATCCAAATAGAATTCCTGCAAAGAAAAATTAAAACAACTTTAATTACAAATTTTTATAATGTATTTATTAATTTTTTTATTAAAACTTTTTTTTTTAAATATATTATTGTTTTTATCTTGTATTTTCAGGTCCCCCCTAAAAATGGCACAGAAAAATCGCCCACTAAAACTCAGTTGATACCCAAACGTCGCTCATCTGAGGGAGATGGTCCTCATTTGCGCAAGAAGAAATAAGTAGATTTTATGACACTGGTGATAGGTATTTAAAATAAATGAAAAAAACTCAGCTTTAATTAAATCAGGGAACATCCAATGAATTTCTAAATAGAGATTTTACAAAACAACAAATATATATTTTGTGAAACATATTTATATAAAGAAATGCGATGCTTTAAACAGAAAACTATGCTTCCTAGTCAAAAAAAAAAAAAAAAAAAAAATAATAATAATAATAATAAAAATGCCATACAAATTTAAAGTAAATTATAACAACAAAAAATCTTATATCTGTGGTGAGTACGAGACTTCTCTTTTACAATTTGGAAAAACGTGACGTCCTCAAAAATATTGTTATTTATTATTAATTGAAATTATAACTTCATATTTTTCTCCGCTTTTTAAATATTTCAAATCTTTTAAATCCTAAATGATCGATGTACTTCTGAAAGTCAGTCGGTTTTCCCGACAGATGTATACTCTCAGCCAATGTTCAATTATTTAAATATATTTTGACTTGTGTTATGATTATTCAAATTATTGATCATCCATGGAATAGAGGATCGAAGACATGGGACAATATTTTCCATTTCGTCTCGGATCTAAATAAATATGATGTACAGGGTTGCCCATATTCGACGGACCCATGACTCTTTGGGCCCATTCCAATCGACGAGGCTTGTCCGCAGGCTACATTCTTTGCGTCAATTGAATTTTGTACGGGAACAAATGCACATCAATGCGAATAATCCGTTGTAAAGTGGACCGAGCCATGCCCAACTGCTGAGAACGGCGTTTTTGGGATGTTCTTGGGGACTTCTCAACACTGGCTCGTACGCAGCGATATTCTCGGCCGATCGCCTTGGTCGACTTTTATATGGCCTCTTCGGATTAGAAAGAGCCTAACCAGTCGAAAATTTTTCGTATAAACGCTTAATGGTGTTCTTAGAAGGAGCACTTCTCACATTTTTTTTTCACAATTGACTTCTTCTGTTGAATGTAAATTTCAACTATTTCAGAGCGCTAGCCCGGCGTGTATTGGTTCATGGTAAAAATCTGATTGGACTGACGCTTCAAACGCGGTATGTCATTAAGCGATGTGACATCTCTGTCAAAAGTTTGGCGTTGTCAGATGGGTCCGTCGAATATGGGCAACCCTGTATGAAATATGTGATAATTTTAAGAAAATATTAAAATGCTCGTGAGGTACGAGATGTAGTCGACCGAAGAAATTCATTTTTATACCCTCCACCATACATAGTATGGAGGTATATTAAGTTCGTTATTCCGTTTGTAACCTAACGATGTAGCCATGTCCGTCCGTCCGTACGTCTGTTGTAGTCACCCTACAGTCCAAACGAATTAAGATAGAAAGCAAATATTTACACAGGTCTGTCTTTTGTCTGCAGGCAGGTCAAGTTCGAAGATGGGCTATATCGGTCCCTGATATCGTATAGCCCCCATATAACGGGGGTCTATTGTCTGAAAATTTTTTCAACGAAATTGTCTGAAATTATACACAAGGAGTTCTTTGTGAGTACTTTACCCCCTGAAAAAGAATTGTCTATATAGTCCACGATATCGTATAGCCCCCATATAACGGTACTCCCGATATTCTGTATTTTGATGATTTCAGCCACATTTTTCAACGGAATTGTCTGAAATGCTACATATGGGGTTCCTTATGAGTACTTTACCTCCTGAAAGAGAATGGTCTATACAGGTCCACGATATCGTATAACCCTCATATAACGGTACCCCCCTATGATTTTAGCCACATTTTCCAACGGAATTGTCTGAAATTCTGCACAAAGAGTTTTTTGTGAGTACTTTACCACCAGAAATAGATTTGTCTACATAGGTCCAAACAATAGATATAACAAGATGTAAAGTATTGTAAAGTTCTGACAGACAAACGTATTGAAAATTGTGACCCTTTGTGGATGAGGTACCAGAAGGGGTTCGCAGATAAATATCATCTTCACAACATATCTTGTTTTAGCAAAAATGTTTGTACAGGGTTGTCCATATTCGACGGACCCATGGGCCCATTCCAATCGACGAGGCTTGTCCGCAGGCAACATTCTTTGCGTCAATTGAATTTTGTACGGGAACAAATGCAAATCAATGCGATTAATCCGTTGTAAAGTGGACCGAGCCATGCCCAACTGCTGAGAACGGCGTTTTTGGGATGTTCTTGGCGACCTCTCAACACTGGCTCGTACGCAGCGATATTCTCGGCCGATCGCCTTGGTCGACTTTTATATGGCCTCTTCGGATTAGAAAGAGCCTTACCAGTCGAAAATTTTTCGTATAAACGCTTAACGGTGTTCTTAGAAGGCGCACTTCTCAAATTTTTTAATGTTTTAAAAGCACGTTGAGTTTTCACAATTGACTTCTTCTGTTGAATGTAAATTTCAACTATTTCAGAGCGCTCGCCTGGCGTGTATTGGTTCATGGTAAAAATCTGCTTGGACTGACGCTCATTAAGCGATGTGACATCTCTGTCAAAAGTTATGGCGTTGCCAGATGGGTCCGTCGAATATGGACAACCCTGTATGTGAGAAATTTGAATAGAGTTGGGTTCTTGTTTCATTTTTTTTGAGCGTTTTGTTTTCCAAAATCTTGCACTATGTGGGGGAGGTACCAGAAGAAATGGTCCGATCTGTACCATCTTTATAACAGATTTTGTGTTGATAGAAATATGGTGATGTACCAAGTCTGAATGGAATCGCATGTTAATTTTTAGGAGCTTCACAGATATTCAAAATTGTGAACATTTGCGGGGGAGGTACCAGAAGAAGTGGACCGATATATTCCATCTTCACATCAGATCTTACGATAGTAAAAATAATTGGATGTGTGTAATTTGAAAACAATAGGACTCTGACATCACACTTTATAAGAGTTTTAATTATTCAAAATGTAGACCCTTTGTGTGGAAGGTACATGTTGGAGCCGACCGATATTGTCCATTTTCGCACCTGACGTAACACTGGTGCAAATATTAGGATTTGCAAAGTTGTATCAAATTCGGATAATCTTTTCTCTTTGTGTACGGTAAAATATTTTTTTTTTTGGATTTTTTGCGGGGTGGTGCCGAAGGAGTGGACCGCTATTATCTATCTCCGAACTCGATAAAAGTTTAATAATAATATTACGATGTACCAAGTTTGGACTCCCTTCGAGAGCTATCGTGCGCACCAGCCAGACAGACGGATGGACGAACGGACATCGCTAGATTGACTCTAAGTGTCCTGAAACGGATTTGGTCCAAAGAGACCTAGGGTCTAAAAACGTTATTTCGATGAGGCACGTTTTGGCCGTATCAAATGATATATACCCTCTTTGCCATATGGCTGGCTCAATGAAATCCTAAAAGAAAATTCCATACACAAGTACGTACATATGTACATGTAATGTAAACCATTCAACTTTTCATAGCCAAAAAAAAAAAAAAAACTAACCTTAGATAACACCAGAAAATGCAAATATTTTATATTAACAAATTTAAAAAAAAAAAAAAGCTCATACAAATTGATTTGTTTTCTTGTATTTCAACGAAACACTGCCAATAAAATTTGATTTAATTATGCCGACACAAAGCCAAGACAAAATTGGTGCGTGTGTGCAATTGTGATTAACTGTAGCCACAAACATCTCGAACCCCAAATCTGTTATTAAATCAATGAACCCAAAATCAATAGCAACAATGAACGCAAGCAGTTGCAACAACAAAATGTACAGCTGCCAACAGCTGTTCAACACGCGATAATAAATAATTTTGTTTTTCAGACACGAAATGCATTTGGTGTTAAATACAATACGAATGAAAAAGCTATGCCTTATACAGGTGTGTGGGTTTAATAGAGATACACACAAATGTTCACATACACAGGTAAATGTGTCTATGGGAGGCAATGGGGTCTTCTTTTGTCCACAGGAGATCTTGAGGTCTTATATTGTGTATAGAAGACCTTGAGGTCTTCTATTGCGTACAGGAGACATTGAAGTGCTCTTTAGTCTATAGAAGACCTTGAGGTCTGCTATATTCAATAGGGGACCTTGATTTCGCCTATTGTTTATAGGTGACATTGTGGTTTTCTATTGACTATAGGCGACCTTGTCGTCCTCTGCAGGGTGAGATAAAAAACTGCAACAAAGTCAAAAGCCATGATTTTTATTTTTTTTTTTAATTTTATTGAATGAAAGCAAACAATGTCGGAAATAAAATCAAATTTTAGAATTGTTCAAATTGGCCACCTTTGGCACGAATTTTGGCCTTCAAACGCCCAAACACGCTGCCCGAATGTTGCTCTGCGGTATTTTGGCCCATTCTCAGCGAAGCGCTTGCTTGAGGTGATCGACACTGGTATTTTTTAGTGCCAACCTTGCTTTCCAAAATACTCCAGACACAACAAACCAACGGATTGGTATCCGGAGATTTTGGTGGCCATTGTGCGCTGGAAATGATCCGAGGAGCCTCATTTTGTAACCATTCTTGGGTGACGCGTGCTGAGCGCGATGGTGCTGAGTACTGTGAGCTTGAGTTCAGATGGCCAACCGCAGGTGCACATTTTCAGCTGACCTCTTTGGCAAGTAAAAATGATCATTTTGTTTGTTTACAAACAGCTGGATAACGAATGTTTTCTCATCGGAGAAAGCCAAATTAGGCTGTTCACCACTTTCGGCCAAGTGAAGCAACTCTTTAGCTCTTTTGAGTCTATTTTTTCCTGTTGCGGTGTAAGTTCTTGCACTTTTTGGAATTTCAATGGCTTTACCCCGAGCTCATTTTTCAATATTGCCGAATGGAATATTGCGATATGTTCAGTTCACGAGCCATTGTTCGGCCACTGCGACGCGGGTTTCGATCAAGTCGCTTCTTTACTTCTCGGACGATTTCTGCTGATATTGCTGTTTTCTTCCGTTCATTCTTTGACGTCGGGCTACACTACCAGTATCACGGTAACGAGCGATGGTACGAGACACAAATGATTTATTCACATTTAAATGCTGGAGTGCTATATATAGAGCGATAGCCACTTGTGGTTTTCCAGCCAAATATAACTATCACGCTTGAATGCCATCACGAGTAATTTCTTTTTTGGAAAATTTACGCTTGCAAACAATATAATGAGCTGTCACTGGAATAATTTTAACAGCTGTCGGACGAGTGGCTTGGAAATGACAGCCGTCTGAAATGGGTTGCAGTTTTTTCATCTCACCCTGTATTACCAACATGCTCGTACGGCAACACTGGCTCTCAACACTAGCTCGTACGGCAGCGATATTCTCGGCCGATCGCCTTGGTCGACTTTTATATGGCCTCTTCGGATTAGAAAGAGCCTTACCAGTCGAAAATTTTTCGTATAAACGCTTAATGGTGTTCTTAGAAGGTGCACTTCTCACATTTTTTAATGTTTTAAGAGCACGTTGAGTTTTCACAATTAACTTCTTCTGTTGAATGTAAATTTCAACTATTTCAGAGCGCTCGCGTGGCGTGTATTGGTTCATGGTAAAAATCTGCTTGGACTGACGCTTCAAACGCGGTATGTCATTAAGCGATGTGACATCTCTGTCAAAAGTTATGGCGTTGCCAGATGGGTCCGTCGAATATGGACAACCCTGTAGTCTTCTATTGTCTATAGAAGACCTGTTTTCATTAGGAGACCTTGAAATCTTCTATTGCTCATAGGGTATCTGAGGTCTTTTATTGTCCATGGAAGATCTTGAGGACTTCTTTTGTCTAAAGAGGACTTTGAGGTCATATATTTGCTATAGAAGACCTTTACGTCTTCCATATTCAACAGACGACCTTGAGGTCTCCTTTTGCCTATAGACGACCTTGATGTCTGCTAGATGACCCTGAGGTCTTCTATTGTCTTTGGGGTCTTGACCTTGACCTTTGGGGTATTGACCTTGGGGTCTTCTTTTGCCTTTACATGACCTCGAGGTCTTTAACTGCCTTTAGAAGACCTGGGGGTCTTCTATTGTCTATAAAATTGCAAATCTCTACCCACTTATCTTTCAAAGTTTATAAACTTAAGTTTCAACCTCCTACCAATTTGACAATTAAGAGAAGAAATTTAAAGATTTGCAATATTAAGGTTACCTAGGTTATTGCAATTTAATTACAACAACAAGAATTGTTACAACAACAACGTAATAGATATTAGTTAAACAGAAACTGGTAAATTTCATGCAATTGTGTTGTTGTGTTTACTGTCTGCTTCAGAATAACTGGATTTTTTCTTTTGGCCATCGGCTATAGGTGTGTTGATGGTGGTCGATGGCTCCGTTTCGACGACGTCTAGCATGAAGCGGTCGATGAGATCGGTAATAAGACGAACAACAGTAAAATGAAATAAAAACACCTTCAAGTGGTTAAACAGAAACTCCAACGAATTGTTAATTTAATAATTCATTATGTGCTTCTAATGAGATACAGTGGGAGAAAAAGTGGATTATGAGAAATACAATTTTCAGAAAAAAAAATTGTAATGTTAGATTTTTGAGTATATTGCAGTTCAAAACTATAGGTAGAATCAAAGTCCTTTTCATCATCGTATTTCGTTTTTTCTATTCATAACAATTAGTTTTAGTTGGGTTTGTGTCCATTATCATATTTTCCTAAAGCTTTCTTAATCATCGATTTTTTTGCCTCTTAATTGCCAAAAATAACATTTTAATTTCTCTTCTAAAATTATTCGATTTGATCGTATGGTTTTTTATTATTTAATTGTAAATCACTGATTGCCATACTGACCTTCAATTCACCGCACCCTTTCAGCAGACCCTCCTCAATCGATTTGATTTTATTCGCTGATAAATCCAATAATTTCAAATTGTTCAATGGATGAAATTCGGCTGTTGAAAATATTGGATTTAAACTATCGCCCAATAAATTGTTGGCCAATCGCAGCACCGTCAATGTGTCCTTGATACCTTCAAATGCCTTTTCGGGTATACGGCGTATTAGATTGTAGGATAAATCCAATTCTTCAATGGGTAAATTTAAATTGCCAAAGTGCTGTAATAATAAAAAAGAAATTATAATTATTGTACGGTATTTAGATAAATAAATCTGTAAGATAAAATTTAAGAAATATTGATGGCATTTTTGCAACTCTTTAAATAAACAATTCAGACAAAATACGGGTAAATCAGGAATGCCGAAACTCACCCACTGAGTTTTACGAGATATCTTAAATAAAATAATAAAATTACCCAACTAAGATTCGTAAGATTTGTATGTACATCGTAATATGTCTGACACATCCCTTAAATGGTTATAACTTTAACAGCTACAGTGGGTTTATACGGTCAGCAATGTCTCCAATCGAAATTTAGAATTTCGACCTCAAATTTGTTTGGTAAAATTGTTTGGTGGTTCATTGAGATTAACAATGTCTGTGAGGCAGTCAGTTTGTCTGGAGTGCAAGCTTGGATACACTCAAAAAAGATTCCGATAAGGACTAGCTTTTAAGCTCGTCATTCCGTCTGCAATTTATCGAAATAATAATTTTAGACCCGGCAAAGTATAGAGTTATCTATATATGTTCACGATATCGTATAGCCCCCATATAACGGTACCCCCCGATATTCGGTATTTTAATGATTTTAGCCACACTTTTCAATGTAATCGTCCGGAATTCTACACAAGGAGTTCTTTGTGAGTACTTCACCCAATGAAAGAGAATTGTGAGATGAAAAAACTGCAACCGGCTTCATACTGCTGTCATTTCTAAGCCACTCATCCGACAGCTGTTAAAATTATTCCAGTGACAGCTCACTAAATTGTTTACAAGCGTACAAAAGCATTTTTGTGAGAATCCAGAAAAAAAAATTATTCGTGATGGAACTCAAGCGTGATTGTGTGATTCCTATATATTTGGCTGGAAAACCACAAATGGCTATCGTTAGTGCACTCCAGCTTTTAAATGTGAATAAATCTTTTGTGCCTCGTACCAACGCTCGTTATCGTGATACTGGTAGCGTAGCTTTACGTCAAGAAAGGGGACGGAAGAAAAAAGTAACATCAACAGAAATGGCTCGAAATGAAGCGACTTGATCGAAACCTATGTCGTAGTGGTCGAAAAATGACGCGTAAGCTAATCATATCGCAATATTCCATTCTGCATATATTGAAAAATGAGCCATTTAAATTCCAAAAAGTTCAAGAATTTACACAGCAACAGAAAGAAAATAGACTCAAAAGAGCTTACGAGTTGCTTCGCTTTGCCGAAAGTGGTGAACTGCCGAATTTGGTTTTATCCGATGAGAAACATTCGTTGTCCAGCAGTTTGTAAACAAACAAAATGATCGTGTTTACTTGCCAAAAAAGTCAGCTGAAAATGTGCACCTTCGGTTGGCCACCAGAACTCAAGCGACGGCCATGGTGATGGTGTGAGCCGCCATAACAGCTGATGGTCGCTTTCCGCCCGTATTAATCGATCGTGGCATAAGAATAAATACCAAATATTAATGTGAAAATATTCTGGAGGGTGTATTAAAGCCTTGGGCATGCACACATTTTGGCCGCAGACTTTGGACATTCAGGGACAGATAGGGCTCAGCACCATCGCACTCAGCACGTGCCACCCAACAATGGTTACAAAATGAGGTTCTTCGCTTCATTTCCAATAGCCACCAGAATCTCCCGATTCCAATCCGTTGGACTATTGTGTCTGGAGTATTTTGGAAAGCAAGATTGGCACGGAAAAATAGCAAAGATTCGATCACCTCAAGCAAGCGCTTCGCCGGGAATGTGCGGTTTCATTGGCCGTTTGAAGGCTATAAGGCCAAGATGGGAGGGTCCGACTTTATGATACCCTACACCACTTTGCTAATTTAGTAGAGCTCCGCATAAAAATTAAAAGACATGTATTGCCCATTTGGTGCAAAATTAATTTGAAATCCGATAAAGATATATATGGGAGCTATATCCAAATCTGAACCGATCTCGATAAAATTTGGCAAAGGTATTTCTGAGCTGTTTTTGATATATTTCCCCAAATATTGTTGTTACGGAGGGCATATTACGGCTGTGGGTAACAAATACAACAAATCGGATGAACAGTATACATGGGAGTTATAGTAATGTCTGAACCGATCTTCACCAAATTTGACATACTACCTTCTAGACTAAATTCGATCCTAGGTGCCAAATTCCATTTGGACAAATATTAGACGTTTGGTGCACAATATAAGGTAAATCGAACGAAGTTATATATGGGAGTTATATCCAAATCTGAACCGATCTCGATAAAATTTGGCACATGTATTTCTGGGAGTTATTTTATATATTTCCCCAAATATTGTTGCAACGGAGTGCATATTACGGCTGTGAAGGACAAAAATAACAAATCGGATGAACAATGTATATGGGAGCTATAGCTATATCTTAACCGATTTCGATCAAATTTGGCACACTTATTTTTAGGTCCAATCTGATCGTACGTGCAAAATTCCATACTATTCGGGCTGATATTACACGTTTGGTGCACAATAAAAGGCAAATCGGACAAAGATATATATGGGAGCTATATCTAAATTTTGACCGATTATCTCCAATTTCAATAGGGTTCGTCCTTGGGCTAAACAAATGATTTGTGCAAAATTTCATCTGGATAGGGCAATAAATGCGAACTGTACTTTGTTTACAAAAATACATGGACAGACGGACGGACGGACGGACATGCATAAATCGACTCAGAATTTGATTCTATGCAGATCATCAAAAGGAACTATGGGTCTATCTCGTTTCCTTTTGCCTGTTACAAACAAATGCACAAAGACATAATACCCTGACCACCTTGTGGTGTAGGGTATAAAAACATTTCGCTCGGTAATAGAGAGTAAAATGAAGTTAAGCCGATGGGGGAATACCCCAGACATAAGCAATCAATTAATTAGTCAAAGAAATGTAATTTCATTTTTTTCGATAATTTAATTGAACATTTCTCTGCATTGTCATTGAAGCCTTCGAATGCATGTTTCTTGCGTCTTAAGTCTTTTGTTTCCTAAAGCGATTACAAAGAAAGTTGATTATCTTTGGCACATAACAACAACAACAAAAATCATATTCTCTTAATTACTTAAGAGATTAATAAAATTACTTAAGATTGATCCGGCATTGGCATACATTCCGATAAACCACAACAATTATAAACATACATATGTATCTGCAGACCCACGAGTATCTCCATCTGTTCGGATGTGGGTAGGCAGCAAGCGCACACTTGTTAAGTGTGTTAATATTCTTGGCTATTTTTTTTTGTATAACATATCTGAGTTAATTTCTTTAAAAACTTTTCACTTTCATGTGAGCAGCTACAAGAGAGGTGAGTGTGAGTGTTTGTTTGCTGCCGCTGTTCAGATCGAAGTGAAAGTGTTGCCTGGTAAGAAAACTTACTTTCATTCATATTTTGTTGGGTTTTTTTTCTGCTTAATGTTGTTGTCTTCTTTATTTCACGTTTTCTTCTCTTCTACATTTCAGTGATCATTTTAAGCATCAACACAACTTTTTTTTATCAAAAAAACAAATCTTTAACTTTAAAGTACTTGTTTTGTTTACTCTTTTTTTCTTCATTTTTTTTTTGTTTTTTTGTGAAGACCCATTGAATTTTGTGCGCATCACTGAAACTCTGACTTGGACCTGATATCATTTGGTTGGGCTCAGAGATGAAAAAAACAAATACTGAGTGACGTGTGTGACTAAGCTTTTAACTTCAAGTAAAAGTTTATTGCTTTGAGGTACATATCTTCTTTGGTTGGTTTGAATATTCAGCTGTAAGCAGCTCCAGTATTCGGAGGCTATTATCTTCATTTCGTGTCTACTGACAATTTATAACTTAATTAATTTAGATTTTGTTTCACTTTTAATTTCTTTAAAACACCTATAACCACCAAACCAGTGACAATGCCAAGGGAAAAATTACTGCTTTATTTCATTATTTTTTGTTGTGTTTATTAACCCAACATTGTGTTTCTATTTTGAAATAATCTCCCAAAGATCTTTGAGATTTTTTTTTTGGTTTTAATGCTACCTTTTTTTTTTGTTTTGATTTTAATTAAATTAAATTTGTAATGCACACCGACTGCAACAATGATTGTCAGCCAGCATGGCCACGTTGGTTGAGGTCGATAGGTTCGGTTTTTTTATTGCTTTTTGGTGTCTCTCGGTGGTGTTAGCTGTTGGTGCTATTTTAAATAACCTTGACTTTATTTGAAGTTTGCCAGCGTATGGCTGTGCATTGTTAATGTTTCCATCTGTGAATGGCAATTGTTGCCAGTCAATGGAAACAAAACTCCTCAAAACATGACAGCAAACAATATGGTGTCTTATGGAGTCTTTGTTTTTTTTTAATAGGTCCCTATTAATCTAATAGGATTCGTGATTAGAAACTTAATTTGGAGTATGTGAAAAAATCGTATATATGCAGTATGAAATATGTTCACAGGACATTGGAATGAATAAGCACAGAAATATATGAGGGGGGTATGCAAAACAAGGAATTTTATACCAGAGTCAATATACAGCGTCACGTTTCCTAGCCATTTTATTAAAACGCCCGTCCTATTGAATCGACCTTGGACGGCGTTTTTATGCCCTACACCCCATAATGGTAAGGGTATAATGTCTTTATGCATTTTTTTGTGACATGGAGAATGAACTGAGATGGACCCATAGCTATTTTTGAGGATCTTCATAGGATCACGTTCTGAGTTGATTTATGCATGTCAGTCCCACTGTCCGTGTGTCCATGTATTTTTGTGAACAATATTCAGAACAAGGACGAACCCTATTGAAATTGGTAAGAATCGGTTCAAATTTAGATATAGCTCCCATACAGGGCTGCCCATATTCGACGCACCCATGTTTTTTTCGATGACTCTTTGGGCCCATTCCAATCGACGAGGCTTGTCCGCAGGCAACATTCTTTGCGTCAATTGAATTTTGTACGGGAACAAATGCAAATCAATGCGAATAATCCGTTGTAAAGTGGACCGAGCCATGTCCAACTGCTGAGAACGGCGTTTTTGGGATGTTCTTGGGGACCTCTCAACACTGGCTCGTACGGCAGCGATATTCTCGGTCGATCGCCTTGGTCGACTTTTATATGGCCTCTTCGGATTAGAAAGAGCCTTGCCAGTCGAAAAATTTTCGTATAAACGCTTAATGGTGTTCTTAGAAGGCGCACTTCTCACATTTTTTGTTGTTTTAAAAGCACGTTGAGTTTCCACAATTTACTTCTTCTGTTGAATGTAAATTTCAACTGTTTCAGAGCGCTCGCGTGGCGTGTATTGGTTCATGGTAAAAATCTGCTTGGACTGACGCTTCAAACGCGGTATGTCATTAAGCGATCTGACATCTCTGTCAAAAGTTATGACGTTGCCAGATGGGTCCGTCGAATATGGGCAACCCTGTATGATCTGAATTTTGGCACATCCGACCGAATACAATCTAGAAACAAGTACATCAAATTTGGTGAAAATCGGTTCAGATATAGCTGTAGCTCTCATATATATGTTTCATCCGATTTGGTGTTAAGGCGTTCACATGCGTAATATGCCCTCCACAACAAGGATATTTGATACCGGTCATCAGATACAGCTCGAAATTACCTCCAGCTCTATACAGATTTTTATATACCTTGGATATAAATCTTCATCCTATCCATTACGTTTATTGCTCATCAGCATAAATTGAATAGATTTTTTCACAGTGTAAAGCTGGGTGAGATAAAAAACTGCAACCAACTTCATACTGCTGTCCCTTCTAAGCTACTCGACCGACAGCTGTTAAAATTATTCCAGTGACAGCTCGTTATATTGTTTACAAGCGTACAAAAGCATTTTGTTGAGAATTTTCCAGAAAAGAACTTATTCTTGGTGGACTTCAAGTGTGATAGTGAGATTTCTTTATATTTGGCTGGAAAACCATAAGTGGCTATCGTTAGGGCACTCCAGTATGTAAATGCGAATAAAGCTTTTGTGTCTCGTACCATCGCTCTTCACCGTAATACTGGTAGCGTAGCCTGACGTCAAGGAAGTGGACGGAAGAAAACAGCAACATCAGCAGATATGGTTCGAAAAGTAAAGAAGCGACATGATCGAAATCCGCGTCGCAGTGGCCCAAAAATGTCTCGTTAGCTGAACATATCGCAATATTCCATTCGACAAATACTGAAAAATGAGCTCGGGGTAAAGCCCTTGAAATTCCAAAAAGTGCAAGAACTTACACCGCAACAGAAAGAAAATAGACTCAAAAGAGGTAAAGAGTTGCCTTGATTGGCCGAAAGTGGTGAACTGCCGAATTTGGTTTTCTCCGACGAGAAAACATTTGTTTTCCAGCAGTTTGTAAACAAACGAAATGAAGACGTGTTTACTTGCCAAAGAGGTCAGCTGAAAATTTGCAACTTTCGTTGGCCACCAGAACTCAAGTGCCGGTCATGGTTATGGTATGGGCCGCCATAACAGCTGATGGTCGCTTTTCGCTCGTATTATTCGACCGTGGCATAAGAATAAATGCCGAATATTATCGCGAAAATATTCTGGAGGGTGTATTAAAGCCTTAGGCACATTTTGGCCGCAGACCTTGGACATTCCAGCAGGACTCAGCACCATCGCACACAGCATGCGCCAACCAAGAATTGTTACAAAATGAGGTTCCTCGTCATTCATTTTCAGAGCACAATGGCCACCAAAATCTCCGGATAACAATCCATTGGACTATTGCGTCTGTAGTATTTTGGAAAGCAAGATTGGCACTAAGAAATACCAAAGTGTCGATCACCTTAAGCAAGCGCTTCGCAGGGCATTGGCCTCAAAGTAATATACATGATCAGCTTAAATTCGAAGTAGATTTTACCATTTCTGTCTGTTGAAATCACGAAAGAACTCGGAAATGGGAGTTTCGGAAAATGAATTTAAGAGTTTTCCGGAATAGCCCGTTTGGCTGTAACTCAGGTTTACCCTTTTTGGAAGTTATAAAAAGTTCAGCATAGCAGAACAAAATTAAATTTTGATTTAGTTTAAGACTAGTTTTTTGTTAGAAAAAAAATGCATCATTATAATTTAAATAACCCTTATCATCGAGCAGTCAGTCCATTGTTGAAGTCGTTAAGTACAACCTAAAGATTGGCCTGGTAAACGAGAAAAAATAGTGTTGTCGCAGTGGGACATATTAGACAGCATAGCTACGGGGTAGTTCAGGTTATTCAATTTTATTTGGGTGCACCCAAACCTTACTACTAGCTAAGATTAAATATCGACTGATCCTGGTTTGGATTTTTAAGCTCTGAAAGAGCAAAATATGGCTTTATTGACTGAGACCTAAAAAATTCTGTTAAAATGTCATCATGGCGGAAACTAATATTATTATACCCTCCACCATGGTATGGAGGGTATATTAAGTTTGTCATTCCGTTTGTAACACCTCGAAATATACATTTTAGACCCCACAAAGTATATATATATATATATTCATGATCAGCATAAAACTCTATGTCGATTTATCAATGTCCGTCCGTCTATCCGCCTGTCCGTCTGTGGAAATCACTCTAGCTTCCGAACGAAATGAAAATGGGCCATGTAGGTCCACGTCTTCGTATAGCCCCCATATAACGGTACCTCCCGATATTCGGTATTTTGATTATTTTAGCGACATTATTTACCGGAATTATTTCAGTTTTAGTATTTGAAGTATTTGACGTTTTTAATAGATACTACAGCATAAAACAGAAAATGGGCCATGTAGGTTCACGTCTTCGTATAGCTCCCATGTAACGGTAGCCCCCGATATTCGGTATTTTGATCATTTTAACGACATTATTTACCGGAATTATTTCAGTTTTAGTATTTGAAGTTCGTAATGAATACTACATCCTAAGACAAAAAATGAGCCATGTAGGTCCACGTCTTCGTATATCCCCCATATAACGGTACCTCCCGATATTCGGTATTTTGATGATTTTAGCGGCATTATTTACCGGAATTGTTTCACATTTTGCAATTGAAGTTCATAATGGATGCTACAGCCTATCACAGAAAGTTGTTTGTTCAGGTCCACGTCTTCGTGTAGCCCCCATATAACGGTACCTCCCGAAAATCGGTATTTTGATGATTTTAGCGGCATTATTTACCGGAATTGTTTCAAATTTCGCATTTGAAGTTCGTGAAGTTCGATATTACAGCCTATGACAGAAAATTACCTGTGCATTGTAAACAGATTTTATTTTCAAGTTTCGCATTCAATATTGCAATAGCTTGTGACAAAAGTTGCCTATGCAGGTCCACAACGTCGTATAGACTCTAATATACGGCTACATTAGGTATTTTCAAGATTTTAACAGATTTTTAAGGGATTTTATTTTTTTTTTTTGAAAATTGTTAAATTTGTACCAAATGGTGGAGGGTATTCAAAGTTCGGCCCGGCCGAACTTACAGCTTTTTTACTTGTTTTTGTATTCTTTGAAGTCCATGTATTTTATACTAATAATCATATATACATAAGTTTTCTGTTGGAAAATCCCTTACCTGTGCCGGTAAAATTTGTTGGCCACTGTAACGTTGGGAATACGATACAATGGGAGCACCGTACGGCAGCTGAGGAGCTTCACCATGAAATACCGCACGATCACAATCCATGGCCACAGCGCCAAGTTGTCCCGTTGAACCGAAGGCAACAACATTGCATCTGTAAAACAAAAACAAAAATCAAACAAACAATAGTAAGGAAAACATAAAACAAATAAAAAATCAATAAAAACAACAAACGATGAAAAAAAAAAAAACATCCAAGTCATTGAAGAAGAAAAAAAGCTCAATAGAAAAACCAGTGGAAAACATCAACAACAGATCGATTGAAAATCAATCTGCCATAGGCGGAAATTGTTTTTCGGTTATAAAGTTAGTGTTGTTGTTGTTGTGTTAGTGGTGGTTTTCATTCATACGCGTTGGATTTTCTATTAGTGTCGTGTGTTTGTTGTCGTTGTTTTAGAATTTTTATTGAAATTCTTTGGAGCTTTTTATGGCCGAGTTATTAGCATAGTTGATTTTTCTCTGTCGCCGCGTTGGGTTCATGTGATGCTGGTTTGGTGCGTTGCTTCTTAGATGACAGTTAGTTTTGTGGCGTTGCGTTTGTTAGTGTTTCTTTTCACGTCTGTCTTGTTGTCTTTGTTTGAAAATTGTTATTTTTCTTTTTTTTTTACACACCTGCAGGGTAAACGCAAAGCTGGACTCAATTCTACACATGGTCGCCAGGCTTTGATTTGTGACAAATAGAGTAGCAACAACAAGAATATGCTCATGTGTCGTATTCGCTGTGTGTGTCGTTGGTGCGGGAACATCTGCGAAAGAAACCAAAAGAAAGAGAGATGGAATTTATTATTAGTTGTTCTTATTGTTATTTATTATTACTATTGTGAACAAAATTATAAATTTTTATTTTCAACAAATCTAGGAAAATAACTGTAACCTGTTTGTTGATGAAATAATGGTTACATAAATTTAGCCCAAAGAATAGGAGCGATAAATCAGTTCTAAAAATATCTTAAACCATAAAAGAGAGGAGAGACAAGTTGGCTTCAGTAGAACATTTGAGTTTCTAAAGGTATTCTATGGATCTTTTAAAATACTTCTAAACGATAAGACTCTCTATAGCACTTTTACAATGAAAAACTTCTAAAAGTCGTCTACAGACAGGAGGCCATATACAATCATTTTCTAGTCTTCTTAGGGCCAACCATTCAGTTGACTTTTCATAAATTTTGTAAATAATAAAGGCCTACTTATTACACTAAAGTCCTCATAAGAGTCTTCTATTCACAGTATAATTTTAAAAACTATTCGACAGAGAAAATACCTTTTAAAAATTTTCCAAACTGTGTAGTCCTTTTAAAAACGCCATTTAAGGGAAAATATTTTCAAATGTAGAAGACGACTTTTAAAATTTCTTCAAATTGAAGAAAATCATTTAATTATATTCTACACAGAGAAAAGTATTTGATGACATCTTATACAGATCAGATCTTTTGAATGACTCTTATACTATAAAGACCCTGTAAATGTCTTCTATTGTAAGCAAATATTGTGAAGGTTTTCTACAAGAAGAAAACCTCGAAAAGGTCTTCTACACGCAGAAGACCCCGAAAAGGTTCTCTATACGAAGAAGGCCTCGAAAAAGATCTCTATATGAAGAAGACTTCAAAAATCTCATATATACGAAAAAGACCTCGAAAAGGAAGAAGATCTTGAAAAGGTCCTCTATAGGAAGAAGACCACGAAAAGGTCCTCTATGCGAAGAATACCTCGAAAAGGTCCTCTATACGAAGAAGATTTCGAAAAAGGTCCTTTATACGAGGAAACCTCGAAAAGGTCCTCTATACGAAGATGGCCTTGAAAAGGTCCTCTATAGGAAGAAGATCTCGAAAAGGTATTCTATGCAAGAAGGCCTCGAAAAGATATTCTATACGAAGAAGACTTCGAAATGTTCCTCTATGCGAAGAAAACCATGAAAAAGCGTTCTATTCGGAGAAAAGGTCCTTTATACGAGGAAGACCACGAAAAAATCTTCTATACGAAGAAGACATTGAAAAGGTCCTCTATAAGAAGAAGATGTCGAAAAGGTCCTTTATTCAAAGAAGACCTTGAAAACGTTCCCTATACGAAGAAGATACGAAGAAGACCTCGAAAAGGTTCTCTATGCAAAGAAGACCTCGAAAAGGTATTCTATGCAAAGAAGACCTCGAAAAGGTTCTCTATACGAAGAAGATCTTGAAAAGGTCTTTTATACGAGGAAGACCTCGAAAAGGTCCTCTATGCGAAGAAGACCATAAAAATGTATTTTATGGGAAGAAGACCTCGAAAAGGTCTTCTATACGAATAAGACTTTGAAAGGGTATTCTATGCAAGATGACCTCGAAAAAGGTCCTCAATATGACGAAGATATCGAAAAGGCATCTATTCAAAGAAGACCTTGAAAAGATACTCTGCACGAAGAAGATCTCGAAAAGGTATTCTATGCAAGAAGACCTCGAAAAGATTCTCTATACCATGAAAACTTCGAAAAAGTCCCCTATACAAAGTAGGTCCTCTATATGAAAAAGTCCTCAAAAAGGTTCTCTCCTCTATGTAAAGAAGACCTTGTAAATCAAATAAAATCTATAATCAGTTAAAAAAGATTCTTAAGGACTTCCATTGACCTTCTAAAGATTTTTTACGAACAAAGGATTTTCTAACGGTTCCCCACCGATTCAAGACCCTTTGTAGGTCTCCTAAAGATCTTCTCAAACTCTTCTATATAAAAAATACCTCTTCTCCTAAGGAGAAGAGTATCTTAGAGTTTTCTATGAATACAAAACCACTCAAATGTCTGCTATGGATATTGTTCATATTTTTATACCCTCAGCCATATGGCTAGAGAGGGTATATATCATTTAATACGTATCCAAAACTCATCTGGTCTGGTGTGAAAATAGAATATATCGGTCTACTCCTTCTAAATGGCTTATATTTGGAATATCCATGAAGCTCATAAAACAGGAAATTAACAGCCGATTCCATTCAGACTTGGCATATTTCAATATTTTTATGAAAACAAGATCCGTAATAAAGATGGTAGAGATCGAACCATTTCTTCTAGTACCTCCCAAACAAAGGCTCAAAGCTTTGAGGAACCAAAACGATTACAAAATTCGAAATAAGCATCCAGTTCTCTTCATATTTCACACATTCCATTATTTCTACTATCGCAAGATCTGCTGTGAAGTTGGGACATATCGGTTCACTCCTTCTGGTACCTCTCCCACTGATGGTCAACATTTTGAATACCCATGAAGCTTATAAACAGCGAAATTAACAGCCGATTCCATTTAGACTTGATACATCTCAATATTTCCATCAACACAAGATTTGTTACAAAGATGGTAGAGATCGGACAATATCTTCGTGTATCTCCTCCACATATGGTTCAAGATTTTGAAAAACAAAACGCTCAAAGAAATCGAAATAACCATCAAACTCTCTTCAAATTTCATACACACCAACATTTTTGTTAACACAAGATCTGTTGTGAAGACGATATATATCTGCAAACCCTTTCCGGTACCTCAACTACGAAGGTTCATAATTTTCATTACTTTTATCTATTATAACTTGCGAAACAAGTCAGCGATTCTTTACAGCTAGCTAAATCTAAATATTTTTCTCAGCCAGTAAATTGAGATGAATATCGAAATTATCATTTCGCATAAAATTGGATATAAAGGTTCGATTTTCTTGTAATTTTGCCCATACAAATATTTTTATCTGTATTAGATGAAGTATGAAAATGGAATACTCCGGTCGACTATATGTTGCACCCCATGCACATTTTAACATTTTTTTAAAATTATCACATATCTTATATAAAGAGTAGGGAGTAACCAATAAAGTCCATACCTGGCACGTCGCAATATTTATATCATATTTATTTAGACCCGATACGAAATGGACAATATTGGCCCATTCCTTCGAAACCTACTCCATAGATGGTCAACAATTTGAATAATCATAAAAGTAAACAAACTATATTTAGATAATCGAACATTGGCTGAGGGTATACATCTGTCGGCAAAACCGACTGATACTTTGTAATTTATGTTAAAAATGTCTAAATAGAAGTTTCATTCAAAACAGCTTATATTTTGAACATTCTTGTGAAATCGAGAGTCCAAGATTCAAATTTAAAAAAAATGCATTTAAATTTGACGATTAATCTTTGTGAAATGGAAAGTCTTTCGCGTATATTTATGATAACTATGCTAATAAAAATGACTTTCTTATCTGAATACCTCGCTGAGACAAAGTCATAATTATCAAATAACACAGATGATGCTTAAATTTCATCTTAATTTGAATTTGCTGCGAGAAACTATAGCAATTTTTTCTTTGTTTTTTTTTCTGCCATAAAATTAGCATGTCTTATAGACCGCATAATAATCTCAAAGGCATGCAATACAAAAAAAAAAAAATACAAATACAACTTTTATCTTCACTTTCAAATACAACAATAAAATTGCTGTCTACAGTTCGTGGCGGGGGACTTGTTGCAATTTTTCCATTTTTTTCTGTGAAACTGTCACTTTTGTTATTTACAAATTATGATATTGTAGTTTTTGTTTCTTTTTTTGCCATTGTATACAAAAACAACGAAATAACGACTGTGACATGATTTTTATGTGCAGCCAATAACAACGATTGTTTGCCCACTCCTCCCATGTCATTGTTCCACACATAAATAATAACAAAGACGAAGAAGAAGAGAATGAAAAAAAAATCACAACACGTGAGAAAACCTCAAACCGTAACGGTAACAGTGCAAATGCTCCCCTCCACAATGACTAGGGGAATTCGTGGTTTTGGGTTTCGTACCAACAACAATGACTAATCGTTATGGAAATCCATCGAGTAACGGGAGAAGTTTAGGGAAACGCAAGATTAAAGCTACATACAGACATGTCTGGGTCTTTAGAAATTAAAAAAAAAGGCAACCGATTTTTACGAAAATTATTTTCAAAATTCGAGGAAATAATAGAGATTTCTTTTTATACCCTCCACCATACTATGGAGGGTATATTAATTTTGTCATTCCGTTTGTAACTCCGTTTGTAACAAAGTATATATATTTTTGATCAGCGTAAAATTCTAAGACGATTTAGCCATGTCCGTCTGTCTGTCTGTCTGTCTGTCTGTTGTAATCACGCTATCTTTCGAACAAATTGAGATAGAAGGCTAAAATTTTGCACACATGTATATTTTGCCAGTAGGCAGGTTAAGTTCGTAAATGGGCCATGTAGGTCCAAGTTATCATATAGCCCCCCTATAACGGTACCTCCCGATATTCGGTATTTTGATGATTTTAGCGACATTATTCACCGGAATTGTTTCAAATTTGGCATTCGTAATGGATACTACAGCCTAAGACAGAAAATTATCTGTGCAGATCAACGTCTTCATATAGCCCCCATATAACGATACCCCCCGATATTCGGTATTTTGATGATTTTAGCGATATTATTTAGCGGAATCGTTCCAAATTTCGCATGTGAAGTTCGTAATGGATACTTCAGCCCATGCCAGAAAATTGTCTGTGCAGGTTCACATCTTCGTATAGCCCCCATATAACGGTATCCCCCATATTCGGTATTTTGATGATTTTAGCTACATTAAAAACAGATTTTTCTTCAAGTTTCGCATTTAAATATTGTAATAACTTATGACAAAAGTTGCCTATGCAGGCCCACGTCGTCGTATAAGCATTCGGTATTTTTAAGATTTTAACAGAATTTTTAACGGATTTTATTTTTTG